TGAAGATGCCATTTGGAAAGGTGATAGGATATTGTTGGAGATGGTCTTATAGATTCCATCCAAGGATGTTTATTGAATTGTAACTTGCAAGCTGAAAGAATGAGTATCAGAATGATATCCGCGTCTGGAATGTATCTAAGTTGTATCTGTGCTTGAAATCTGAATAAGTATCATAATGGCATACGTGTCTAGAGCGTATCTGAACTTTGAAAATCTGAATGAGTATCAGGATGGCATCCGTGTCTGGAGCGTATCTGAATTGTATCTAAAAGATGAATCTGAATGATTAACAGAATGGCAACCATGTCTGGAGTGTACCTGTACTGCATCTGAAAGCTGAATCTGAATGAGTAACAGAATGGCAACCGTGTCTGGAGCGTATCTGTACTGCATCTGAAAGCTGAATCTGAATGAGTAACAGAATGGCAACCGTGTATGGAGCGTATATGTACTGTATCGTGAATGTTTATTGTTATCGGTAGCTGTTAATCTTATCCTGAAAAGGGTAAAATGTTAGTTGAAACACAAAGTTACGTTGCATGAAATGTATGATGTAATATATGTGTTTTTATCAATGTTTATGATATGCGATGTAATGTATGCGCATGTAAGCTGATTTGCTGCATTGTTGAGGAAAATAAATCCTTGACTGCTGCTGAGGATATGTGGATTCTTCATGTCTTGAAGTTGGAGTATTGACAAAAATTTCGTTGTGAGAGTAATGCCATGTACTCCTTGAGGAATCTGCTTGGGGGATCCTAGAGAATTTTGATGACTTCTACTAGGAATTTAATAATGGGAATCTTCATTCTGTTGGGGAGCAATGTAAACTCTGTGGGGAAAAAGCTTATTCCTGTTTGGGAAAAAGTTCAGGAGTTTCAGTCGTCTGTCACCCTACCGGGGAGTTATCCTAGGTTGGGGAGAAACAGAAGTTAGCTGTTGTCCGGTTGGTTTTCAGGCTTCAAGACAACTTGCTGGGGAATTTGAAGAAACTGGATGGTTTCCACTGGGGATTAATAGTTTGAAGTTTCAGCTCCGCTGGGGATCTTAATGACGTACTGTAGGGACTGCTCATGGAATAACCTAAAGACGTTTTCCTATTCTTTCAACCTATCAGCAATTGTTCTTTTTCATTTCATTTATTTGTAAACAGTAATTATGTTCAATTGCATATGTTCATTAATGAACCACTGGACGTTTTTGCAAATAAAACATAAATATAAAGGAAAAGACAAATAGTTTTCTGTACTTTAAAGAGATATCTTTGTATTTACTTTGAATAAGTATTTTGTACAAAAGAGACAAACATCCTAGTAAGAGGATGGTGTCATGAAAATAAGAAAAATTTATACAAAGAAAGATAGCTATATGTGATAATCCCATGGGGTTCCCATTCTGCTATAGTCTCCGTAACTCTGAATATCTTGTCCATTTGTTGCTTCATCCAAAGATGATTGAATTGATCAGAAGCCCCGAGTTTTTTAGTGAAGAGATTGTCCTCAAAGTGATCCGACGAGACATAGTCATATGCTTTAATTCCCTATCTTTTGCCTGAACTGCCCTTTCGGGTTTTCAATCCATTAGGAAACCCTTTTTTGCCCAAGTCGCCCTTTCGAGTTTTCAAATTGCCGGGTGTACATATTTTTTTATTTTATCCCTAATTTTTGCCCGAACCTTTTGGTTCGCCGGGATGCCCTTGTTTTGCCTAGGTGTGTCAACCTACCGGGTCTCTTATGCGTAGTATCTTTTGACTATGTCTGCGTTCGCAGGGTGTGGCAGGTCGTCGTCGTCCATGGTGGTTAAGATTATTGCCCCACCAGAAAAGATGTTCTTGATTACAAATGGTCCTTCATAGGTAGGAGTCCATTTGCCCATGGGATCACTTTGTGGCAAGATGATTCGCTTGATCACTAGATCTCCAACTTGATATTCTTGGCGTCTGACTTTCTTGTTGAAAGCCTTGATCATCCATTTTTGATACATCTGACCATGGCAAACAGCAGTAAGTCTCTTTTCATTAATTAAGTTCAGTTGATCAAGTCGGGTCTGGATCCAATCGTCCTCACTCAAACCTGCATCTTTTATAATTTTCAAAGAGGGGATATGAACCTCAATAGGAAAGACATCCTCCATGCCATAAACCAAAGAATAGGGTGTTGCCCCAGTTGATGTGCGAGCCGTGGTACGGTACCCATGGAGAGCAAACGATAGCATTTCATGCCAGTCCTTGTAGGTTACTGTCATTTTCTGTATGATCTTTTTAATGTTTTTATTAGCATCTTCGACTGCACCATCCATCTTTGGCTGATAGGGGGATGAATTGTGATGTTGAATCTTGAACTGCTCGCACAGGGCGATGATCATAGTATTGTTAAGGTTCGTGCCATTATCAGTGATGATCCTTTCTAGGATACCGTACTGGCAAATAAGATTCTGCTTGATGAAGCGGGCAACAACATTCTTAGTAACGGATGCGAAGGAAGCTGCTTCGACCCACTTTGTGAAATAGTCAATGGCCAATAGAATGAAGCGGTGTCCGTTGGAGGTTGTAGGCTTGATCTCCCCAATCATATCGATTCCCCACATAGCGAAGGGCCAAGGAGCTGTTAAGACATTTAGAGGAACCGGAGGCACGTGCACCTTATCTACATAGATTTGACACTTATGACAGGTTCAGGAGTGTTGATAGCAGTCTGCTTCCATGGTAGACCAATAATAGCCTGCCCGTAGGATTTTCTTCGCCATCGTATACCCACTAGAGTGAGTGCCAAAGGTACCTTCATGTAATTCAGCCATGATCTTTTCAGCTTCAATCTTATCCATACAACAGAGCAGAATAGAATCATGATTACGTTTGTACAAGATTGCCCTTAGGAACTCTGTATTATCACTGTGGTGTAACCTTGTGAAATCTTATATTAAATGATATACTTGATTATTTTGAATATGTTGATGCTTACATGTTTTATTGTTGATAATATCATTTTGAATATGTTAATGCCTCGATATTTCCCAAACCCCATATTGAGTATTGGGCTCTATTACATAATCATTTATGTCTAAGTCTCTAACAATTGACATTTATGACCAATGAAAAATAAAAGGCGAATGAGATAATGGGCTCAATACCTCAAGCGGTTGTGGATAAATGATGAAGATGAAGATGATAATGAGAGAGGGAAAGGTATTAATTATCTATTTATAAAGTTTGATATGCCATTAGGCTGAGTAGGTCGTCATCATTAGATAATAGAATTGCGTTTACTTCTTTGGGAAAAGAACATTAATGACCCATGTTATATGCGTGCAAAGGATCAGTGACTTACGTCACTTAGACTTTTCCTAGGCAGTTTCATCATTACGTGACATTAAATACATCATGTTTCCTAAGAGATCCAATTGTTACTCGCCACTTAGACCACACCACGCCTAAGGAACTTGCCCTTTCAAACATTGCTTGAGGGACTCACCCTTTCAGGCCTTTCTTGAGGGACTTTCCCTTCCAGGCTTCTCTTCAGGGACTCCCCCATCAAATTATCTTCCGAGGGGCTCGCTCGCATGAGTCATGTTAATAAGGGACCGTGACAACCTCACATAAAATTACCCTTATATGCCACGAGTTTGAGGAAGTGTGAACTATATGCCTTTGCTTAATCATATAGACCTTTTAGACCACAAGTTTGAGGGACTATGAACTAGAATAACCTAGTGGGTCTCAAAGACGTTGGTCTATTGCATACTCAGCCAATGAATAACACGAGAATAGATTGGGCACGAAAACACAGCATTACATGGCAGGCAATTACATTCGCTTAATATGAAAAATGCACCTTTGACATGGACCTCGTGATCTTTCTCGTGGAATTGTTGAAATGTTGATTTTCTCATCTCTTCCAATATTTATCAAATTTTCCTCTTTATTTCCCAGTTTTTCCCACAATAATTGTTTAGACATAGTCAATTAGATTGAATTCACGTTCTCAGCTCAAGTGGTCAATTTAGGTCCAAATTTATCACCGTACTCTTAAGTATCTTTACATTTTCAAATTTGTCAATCAAACTAAAATAAAATTTACCTAATTCTTTCAAATTAATTTATAATTATTTATATTATTTTATCATTGCTTGTAATTAGTAACAACTTAATTGTTGCAATCCCATTTTAATAATGGTATGACTTTAATTGATGTATTATTTTAATCAATGTTAGATGTAAAAATGAATTAGTAGAAACTTGTCTAAAAGTGAATTGATTACCAACTTTACAAAAAACAAATAAATAGAGAAAAAAAATATTAGAGAGGAAGAAACAAAGATACATTTTATATTTGTAATATCGTGAATTAAATGTTGAATTTGTATTTTACCCAATGCTAGTTGTAAGAATCTCTCTAAAAAACAATTAGTAGCAATTTGTCTAAAAAATAATTCATACCAACTTCACCAAAAATAAATAAATAAAGAAATAAATAAAGAAAAATACAAGATAAGAGAAGAAGAAGAAGCAAAGTTATTTATACACGCATGTGGTGCGGCCCTCTAATAATTTTCTAACTAGGGCTTTAAAAAAAGAAAGAAAAAAAATTGTAACATGAATGTTTCTAAAATTGTAAATGAAGTTTGACATTTTACATTGTTACAATAGAAGTTATATGAATTGAACTCTAAAAATGAATTAGTAGGAAATAAACAAAAAATAAATAATAAAAGAGAAAGAAGCAAAGCTATTTATTTATACACGGCAGGCATGTGAGTCTCTAAAGAAAAAAGAAAATATAAGAGAGTAAGAAATAAATGTAACCATTTATATTTATAATACTGTAAATGAAGTTTGGCATTTTATATTTTTATGAATGCAAGTTGTAGGAATTATGCTGTAAATAAGAATTAGTAGCAACTAAAAAAAAAAAAAGATAAACATAGATTTGAATGATGTCCATCTGATACTCTATATATACATAGTATCCCAGTATAATTTGCATTCAGAAAAGATGAAAAAAATGATTAGTAAAGTGTGTGTAGTAGTTGTTTTCCTTGCCCAAGTAGTTCATCCACTGGACTACTACACATTTGCTCAACAGTGGCCAAAGGGGGCATGCATGGGCGCGAAAAAACAATGTATTCCTGGAGTTCCAACTATATTTACGGTACATGGCTTGTGGCCATCAAACAATGTTAAGCCGCACCCTACTCCCTGTCCAGCTCAATCCTTTAACATTGGACTAGTAAGTTTCACTCAACTATCTTTTAATTTGCTCCACATAAATAATTGTTGATTTGACAATCTTGTTGTATTTTACCAGATTAATTCACTGGTGGGACAACTTTCTACTATGTGGCCTAACATTGAGATAGGCAGAAGTAATGTGGGATTTTGGGCTTATGAATGGAATAAGCATGGCAGCTGCTCACCATTCTCACAATATGACTACTTTAACCATGCCATTAGCCTATATAACCAAAACAATCTCAAATCTATGCTTGCTGCTCAAAACATCACACCTGGAACTAGTCATTCAATTCAAGTGATTTTTAATGCAATACAATTGCATGTTGGCGTTCAACCATTGCTTGTATGTTTTAATAGAAACTATTTAGCTGAGATCCATATATGTTTTGATGTCACAGCAACCAGCCATACGAATTGTCCTGTTCCGTCCTCTCAAACCTGTGCAACTTCTGTTATATTTTAACCTTAATTAGCTAGTATCAAGTTATATTCACCAATAATATGTTAAAATATCACTACACACCATCTTATAACATTATTCATATTGTACTGCCATTTTCTTATAATACCATTATTAATATTTGTGTACTACATTAGATAAGACTCATCTTTAATTAATCCCTTCTTCTTTTAATTTCTCCTTTTTTACTCGTACCAAAATAAGAGACAATTCACTTATAATATTAATTTCTCCTTTTTTACGGTACATGGCTTGTGGCCATCAAACAATGTTAAGCCGCACCCTACTCCCTGTCCAGCTCAATCCTTTAACATTGGACTAGTAAGTGTAACAATGCCTACAGAGGACGTCATCAAGGCAATGCTCGATGTAACATCCCGGTTTAATTAAGGTTATTTTTATTTTAAAATAATTAGATTAGATGATGTGTTTACGTTGATGATATGTTTTACAATGTGATGAGATGCTATTTGAGAAATTAGAGGTTGATATGTTGGGGGGTCTATTGTAACGCACGATAATTTAATTAATTATTTAATTAAATTATTTTCGAATTATTTGTTAAAGTTGTGAGATGTTGGAAATTGTTGGTATAAGTTGCTAGATTATTACTAGTTAATTAATTAGTTGATTAATTATGGTAATAATATTAGAATTAGTAGAATAATAGAATAATTATTTTGGGCTTAATTTCAATGGTTGGAAGTGTAACACCCCAATTCTACCCAACAATTATAATAAGATCAGAGTTACTAAAACTTATACAACTGAATCAGGATGCCACAAATTCAACTTAAAAACCATTGCATTCAACATAGATACATAACACTTTAAAAACTTCGGATGAACCAACAGCAAAATAAATTATTCTTTTAAACCAACAACTTGAACAACTACGCAGCAGAATCATAATAACATCTTTATCCAACATGACATCAACTTCTTAATAACAATTACTTAACAACAATCAACTTAAAGTTCAACAACTGAAATAACAAATACTAAAGCAACAAGCGTTCATCCCCCTGAGTGTTATGTATCAAAGCAATGACACCGACTCGAATTACTTAAGGTAAATCGCCTTCACTCTGGATTACGTACACGTTACCAACATCAGAGTAACATTCAAACCGAACGGGTGAGATTCTCAAATCAAATAAGTTAGCGTATGATAAATCATATATTAGGATTCATGAATATAAAACCATCACATTTCAATTATCAACATTGTCATGCCCTTCACAGTACATCTTTTCACAAACCTCACTTACTTTATTCACAACTTATCATCGCAATTCACATTATTATTACTTATGCAAGACTCGATGAGACATAACTATACAAATGCATGTGGTATCAACAGGGTAAAACCCTCATCATAATAATGCAAGCTTAGGGAAGTAACATCATAACGCCAATACAGGCTATCGCTCGCCAATACAGGCCATCACTGCATGAATGCATGCAACACTGACATGAAACAACTTAATTTACATTGATCATTCATACTCACCAATGTCTCACCAATACAGGCCATAGTCATCATCATTATCGTAGAATACATCAATAAAAATCCTTCATACACCATTTATACATATGAATACATCCCATCGCAGCATTTTGGATTACAACACATACAACATACACACACATTAAAAATTATTCCGATAAAATATTAGTCTAATGCCATCAAAATAATTACCATATTTTATAAAAAAAAATTAGCTTTCCACCGGTCCAAACGGCGCATCAAAAGGACACCCGAGTCAAAAATTATGGAGTTTTCAAGTTTTCAAAAATATTGTCAAATAGTGAGCAATCGATTGCACTAACACAACAATCGATTGCACCCTGTTCCAGAGGCCAAAAATCACGTTTTTAAGCAGTGAAATCGATTGCTCTCCTGTTACAATTGATTTCTTACTAAAACAGAAGCAAAATTCCCAATTTTTTAAGCAGTGCAATCGATTGCTCTTCTGTTACAATCGATTGCACCCTGTGAAAAACAGTTTTACGATTTCTGTAAGGTACAATACGAAAATCCTTTTATCTCAACCCCAACAACACAAACCTCATGAAATAATATACAATCCTATATCCAATTATCATGGCTATCAACATATATCAATTACCACACATATATAACATCAATTATACACATAATGCATCAAAATTATTCATCAAACGGCAAAACCCCAAAACAACCACATACGGAGAAATCAACAACATTTAACCATGGAACTGAAACTATATCATAACCCATCATTATTCAAACCCTTATAGATTTATAATCCCCCTTACAATTTCTCGTAAGCCCCATTATAGGATAAGGAACCCCATCCTTACCTGGTTTGGTTTGAAGGAAACTCCATGGGTCTCCGATTGAATCTCCTCTTGGCCTCTTGGTTCAATTTCATGTATCCCTCTTCTTCTCCAAAAACCTTATCTTCCTCTTCTTACTGAAAACTAACTTCTCTTACTCTCTTATTTCTAATAATAACATAATATTATTTTATTAATACAAATAAATCCAATTGAGCTTGAATGCTACACCTCACTCTTACTTCTTGACGCCAAAACATAAGCCCATTACTAAATCTAAATGTATTTACAATAAATTAATATTATGATATTACTACCACTTAATCAATCCATCACTTAAATAATATTTCATTAATCCAAACATAAGAATTATTATTAATCAACTAATTAATTAATTAATAATAATCCAACAACTTTTACCAATACTTCTTAACATCTCGCAACATCACAAATAATCCAAAAATATAATTTATTTAAATAATTAATTAAATTAACAGACGTTACAACTCTCCCCCAATTAGAATATTTTCTTCCCCTAAAATTTACCTTAATTGAACAACTCAGGATAGGAGTCCCGCATCTTGCTTTCCAACTCCCAAGTCATGCTTTCCCCAGCCGCTTTTAACCTGACTACTTTCACCAAAGCAATCTCCTTGCCTCTCAGAGTGTTCATTTCACGATCCGTGATTCCTATAGGCATCGTATCAACAGTAAGATTATCCCTTACTTGCGCATCATCCATATGGATCACATGAGATGGATCTGAAATGTACTTCCGGAGTTGTGAAACATGAAACACATCATGCAAATTCGAAAGATTAGGCGGTAAAGCCACTCTATAATAAACATTTCCAACTCTTTCTAAAATCTTATACGGACTAATAAAACGAGAAGTAAGCTTCTTAGACTTCAATGCTCGCCCAACACCACTTACAAGCGTAACTCTCAAAAACACACGATCACCTACTTGAAATTCTAAGTTCTTCCTTAGCTCGTCATTTCTCGAATCAACTTTTGGGAAGCTTTCATCTTTTCTCGAATCAACTTCACCTTCTCAATAGTCTCACGAACAAGTTCAGGTCCAAGTACTACACTTTCTCCAGATTCATGCCAACATAAAGGAGTTCTACATCTCCGACCATACAATGCTTCAAAAGGTGCCATTCAAATACTAGAATGGTAACTGTTATTGTAAGTGAATTCTATCAATGGATGATAAGTATCCCACGAACCTCCCTGCTCAAGAACACATGCTCTCAACAAATCTTCCAACGATTGAATAGTCCTTTTTGTTTGGCCACCCATCTGAGGATGATACGCCGAACTCAACCTCAACTTAGAACCCAACGCCTCTTGCAAACTCTTCCATAAATAAGAAGTAAATCTCATATGTCTATCTGAAACAATGCACAAAGAACACCATGAAACTTCACAATTACACTAGTGTAAATCTCAGCCAACATTGATACTGGAAAACTGATGTTACTAGGAATAAAATGAGCCGACTTCGTAAGCATATCAACAATTACCCAAATAGAATCATGTCCTCTTGACGTATTTGGTAACCCCGTCACAAAGTCCACCAAAATGCTATCCCATTTCCATTATGGAACTTCTAACGGTTGCATCAACCCCACATGCTTCTGATGTTCAACTTTGAACTTCTGACAAGTCAAACATGCATACACAAACCGAGTCACATCACTCTTCATCCCAGGACACCAAAACAAATTCTTCAAATCCTGATACATCTTTGTAGCTCTTGGATGAATACCTAACTTACTTCTATGACTTTCCTCAAGAACCACTTTCTTCATCTCTGCATCATCAGGAATACAAATCCGATTACGAAATCCCAACATACCTTACGCATCTAACTTAAAATCACTATTCTCATACTGATCGATCCCAACCATCGAACCTACCAGTTTCACATCTAACTTCTGAGCTTCTCTGATACTATCCATAAATTCATTATTAATATTCAACATTCCCAACATAACACTTCGCGGTGTCACCTTGCAACCTAAGCTCATATCTCTGAACTGTTCAATCAATTCCAACTATTTAACCATCATTGCTGCCATATGTAAATTCTTTTGACTTAATGCATCAGCTACCACATTTGCCTTTCCTGGATGATAATTCAAACCGAAATCATAATCCTTTAACAACTCCAACAATCTTCGTTGTCTCATATTCAATTCCTTCTGACCAAATAGATACTTTAAGCTCTTATGGTCACTAAACACTTCAAATCTAGAACCATAAAGATAATGCCTCCAAATCTTCAACACAAAAACAAATGCAACAAGCTTTAAATCATGCGTAGGATAGTTCCTCTCATGAGTCCTCAACTTCCTTGACGCATAAGCAACTACCTTCTCATTTTGCATAAGCACACCTCCTAAACCCATCTTAGAAGCATCACAATATACCATGAAAGGTTCTCCAGAATTTGGTAATGTCAAAATAGGAGCCGACGTCAATCTGTTCTTTAATTCCGTAAAACTCTCTTCACACTGAACATCCCACACAAAAGTTCTACCTTTACAAGTTAACATAGTCAACGGAAGTGCCAACTGATAGAAACCTTCAATAAACCTTCTATAATAACCAGCTAATCCCAAATAAGCTTCTAATCTTGGTAGCCGACTTTGGAGTTTCCCATTGCAACACAA